TTAATTGGACTGCATAATTCATATCTCCACTCTTACAATACCCATCAATCAATATGTTAAACCCTACAACATCCTTAAAAATCCCACCATTCACCAAATTATCCATAACCCACTCTCCATATTTAACCAACCCAATTCTACAAAATCCCTTAACAACTATGTTACATGAAAAAGTACCAAAATTTATACCTTTTTTTACCATTTCAGACAAAAGGCCGAAACCTTGATAAGCCAAACCTTGCTCACAAAAACCCCAAATCAAAGTATTATAAGTAACAATATCAACATTGTCGTTGTTACCAACATTTCTAAGCAATTCCAAGGCAAAGCTCAAATTACCAACTTTGGCTAAAGAATGAACCAAAACATTTATTGTGAAAACATTAGGCAAAACCCCACAAGCTATCATCTCAGAGTAAAGTAGCATTACCTCAGAAACCAAGCCAGAGGCATTGAAACTGTAAATAAGGTGATTCCACAGGGGCAAAACGGGAATGACACCATGTTTCCTCATGTTAAAAAATGTGTCCTTGGCTTGGGAAAATCTTCCACAGGTTAAGTACAAGTGGATAAGAGTGCAGAAAAGCGAGGCGTAAAGATGGGATTTCGATGAGGAGTTTGTTGGATTGGAAAGGGTGTTTAAAGAAAAGGGTGGTAGGATTTTGGAGGGTTTATGGGGAGAAGGGTGTTTGGTCGATGGGAAAGTGGAGGATCTTGACAGAAAACGGAAGGGAAAGAGAAATTTTTGATGGGAGGTGAAATATTTTATCATAACTAACTTGTGGGTTTATATTTTAAGGAAAAAAATTGGGTTTTTGCACCAGAGCTGTCAAAGTAGTTTCCTAGGATTTTGGAACTGAAACTGAGCAGACAAGAAGGAACTAAACAGAGTTTCTGCTTGTTAAGGAGTTTAGTTCAACGTAGAGTTGAACTCGAAAGAAAAGAGACAAACAAAACGCACCGTTTAGATACTATTCCAACAAGGACTCAAGCTGACCTTTACATAGTTTTTTTATTATAATTTTCAACCGACAACGATTTTTTTTATTTCATTTTATCATGAATGTCAATAAATAAAATTTTTCAAATATTCGGATTATATTGTTTTACTCTATAGGGTTCGAATAGTTGGAGCTTGAAATGGTTATGAATGAGAAATTTATTGTTCGTCATATTCTCATATTTAAATAACATTGAATATTATTTTTTGAATATTCAGTGTCTAATTTCGAAAGTTATTTGTCAGCATAGTATCCTAAATGAAATTATATATTTTATTTTCTATATTATTTTACGCCCTCCTATATCACCGTTCACCAATCATTCAAATAAAAAAAAATTGAAATAATTCAATTAAAAACCAATAAAACAAAGCTCAATAACCATGGACTGAAGCCCAAACATAATTTCTTTATAATTTATGATATTTATTTTTAAAAAAAAATTATAAAATTGTCACCGTTTCTTTAACAAACCTGCTTCAGCGTTAAAACCCTAAACCTCTGTTCAGAAAATCTCCAATTTTCTTTCCATCATTTTCTAATTTTTTTGTTGTCTTCAGTGAACTTTGATTCTTCATATCTCAGATGATAAGCCAATAACAAAAAAAATGTCAACAAGATCCCAAGCATCTTTGTGCTCTAGGTTCCTCAGCCAAACCCTTCAAAGCAGGTCCAAAGCCCTAACCTCATTTCACCGGAAAATCTCAACTTTCCCACCTTTTCCCACTAACCAAACACCAAAATCCTCACTTTCTTCGAAAGTAGCCCATTTCTCCACAGCCTCCTCCACAGAAGTTCGGGATCTTCTTGCTGAAGTAGAGCGTGAGAAGCGGAGGGAAAAAGAGGACAGGACGAGAAAAGGTTTGGATACAAAGGATATTGATGAAGAGGATCAAGAAGATTACATGGGTGTAATGCCCTTGATAGAGAAGCTTGAGAAGGAGAAATTGAAGGATACTGGGAATTTAGACATGTACGAGGAGCCTACAGATTCGGATAGCGATGAAGATGAAGATGATGAGAGGTTTGGGCCTGAGGCAGTTCAGAAGAGGATTGAGGAGTTTGAGAAGAAGCATAAAAGGCATGAGCAGTTGCTAAAGGACTTCACTGAGGCCGGTAAAAAGAAAAAAAAAAGAACTCTTCTTTTTCTTTTTGTTTTCTTTCAGTATAAGCAGCATGATGTAATATACAATACAACGTAGGTGTATTTAAGCATATTATACATGTAAAGTTTATGGCTCTAGGATCCTATTTTTGAATAGCAGAGTTGGGATTGTTTATCACGTTGCTTAGATAAAGAATGAAAATGAATATTTAAACATTATTTTCAAGGGAAAATAGGGACAATACCAACTATTTTCTTCTTTTTCAAATCTTATAAAAAAGAAGACAATTTGATCATTTGTATTGATTGCCTTGATTGATTCGGTGATTCTTTTGAAATGATAAGTTGCATGATTGACTATGCTCTCTTAAGTATTGTGAAAAAGTTAAAAAAATTGCCTGTCATGAATGAGTTGAACTGAGACCAAAGTGTTCGAGCTCATTTTTTTTTTCTTTGTAAATGAAGCCTGACTCATCTGTCAAGCTCAAAATAATATTCAAGTTTGATTTGGTAAAATTTTAAATGAACTTGGACTTGTTTGCAGTTTCATGAAGTAAATATATTTAGTGAATCTGATGAAGTCTAAAAGAAAGATACTTAAGTTTACTTAGTGATAAGGCATAACAAAACAGCATAATACATTAAAAATTTGGTATAAGTATCATTTTTTGGTCTAGCCATGACTTATTACCTGAACACACTGGACAGAGACACTTGATGAAGCTTTCAAATGTATGAATAAAATTGACAAGTTTGAGGAAAAGCATTTTCGGCTTCGCCCTGAATACAGGGTCATTGGTGAGTTGATGAATCGACTTAAGGTAGCAGAAGGCAAGGAGAAATTCATTCTTCAGCAAAAATTAAATAGGGCAATGAGGCTGATTGAATGGAAGGTAGCCTATGATCCCAACAATCCGTCCAATTATGGAGTTATTCAGCTTGAACAAGTTGGTCAATCTGATGATCTTGTGGAAAATGCTGGACAAGGAGAGGAAGAGCAAATGATACGAGGAACTGCTGCTGTAGACGATGATGATGAAGAATTTGATGACATGAAAGAGAAGGATAACATACTGCTAGAGAAGCTCAATGCTATTGACAAGAAACTTGAAGAGAAGCTGGCAGAGTTGGATCATACCTTCGGGAAGAAGGGAAAACTTCTGGAGGAGGAGATCAGAGATCTTGCTGAGGAAAGAAATGCTTTGATAGAAAAGAAAAGAAAACCTCTTTACAGAAAGGTAAGTGCCTACGTTATTGCTTCCAAAGCATCAGTTTTTTTTTTTTTTCAAATAGTAATTTAAAACTAGAGGAGGAAAAGGCTAAGCTTATGTTATTCTTCTTTTTCCTAAATACATTTCATTTATATTCATGCATCTAGTTAGCAAGCTGCTGATTGGAGTTTGTCTTTCTGATGTTTCTCTCCCTTTTATTGTTTCCTTGCAAGTATGAAATAGGTTGCATTGAAAAAATTCTAGGAAATTTCTTAAGCTGAAGTTTTAGTTTTCTTCATATTCTCTGATGATATATATGAGTGCGCAAGTTCATTATTTATTCAGGTGTTGAATAGAAAAAATAATGTTGACATCATGTTAAAAATATGAG